AATGTAGAAAGTAACTATTGACTATAAGGCTGCCATATGATCTACAAATTGAATAAAAACAAAATTATTGATTATTGTTAAAATAACATAATCAACAAATAATTTATAAATTAAAATTAAAAGCCATACCTCATCACGCATAAGACGATCAAGTTATATCTATAATATGCAACATCTTTCTTCCCTCTTCTAGGCACCCCATTTACTAATCACCTAAACAATAACAAAATTGATAAAGTATAAATATACAACAAAGTATTAATATTTAAAACAATTGATTACGGAACTTATGATATACTATGCATACCTGGCACCATAAGGAAGATCATGTCGTAAATGTAGAGGATTACGAGGAGCCAAATATGGAAACCTATCTCACGCCCACATAACCAGCAATGGAGTCAAACCTCCAATGGCAAGTCTATCAATGTTTGTTGTCATGCATAACTCTCTGTACAAGAAACTGAGAGCTGTTCCTCCCCAGCTATACTGTACTGTGATGCAAAAATCCTCAAGCAACAGCAAGTAACGATCTATGACCCTGCTGCTAGAGTGATTTGCTAGCATAAACCCTCCAATGAGTCTAAAAATATAGGCTCTAGCAAATCTCGTAAGTTAAAGCTCGTCATGATTATGCATGGCAACATGACTGAAATGATGATCTAACCAACTAAGCTTCAAGCTACTCCCCACAAAAGCTTCTAGCAAATTTCTATCATATATCTATATATTAAATGTTAATGAAAACTTTCAAAATAATAATTATGCATCAAAGTATTAACAACAACTTTTCATGTTATACTTATTATATAAATTATAATAATAGTGTTATTAATTTTAGTTTTATTAAAGATTCAATTTATATTCTATTTTACTCTACAACAATTTAAAAAATTATGAAAAAACTACATTATTACTTTATTTAATTTTTAATATTTATTTTACTTTCCCTATTTTATTTATATTAAATCAAAAACATTTTTTATTTAACTTTATTACAACCTAATATATTTATTTTAATTTATGCACATTTAAATTTATTTATTTATTTATATATTTAATTTTTTTAATTAATTATTTTTACTAATCAACACTAATAATATAATTTTTCATACTTTTTACTTAATAACAAATTTATTTCTAAATATAATTATCTTATTATCTTATAAATATAACTAATTACGTATTTTAAATTTAATATTTTATGATTTAACTAAATTTATATATTTTATTATATTTTAACTATCATAATGTTTATAATTTTTGTGTTTCTAAACATAATATTACATATATCAACTAAAATATAATTTCACTACTTATACATCCATTAATTTTTTTAATATCAATCAATTTCTATATATAATTTTTTCATCACAAATTAACATTCCTTATTCTACGGTTCCAGCCAAATGCACATTATTTATATATATAAACATTCAGAAATTTCATTATAAATACAAAAAAATACTAAAAATTGATAAAAAGAAATATAAAATTGCATTTGATATTTATTACTAACCTTGAATGCTCAAGAATGACTATTCCAGTTCACTACCGAAGATCCTAAAGTTGAGATTCAAATTGGTTATTTTTTTCTAAATACAACTCAACAAAATATCACTAATTCAACAAATTATTTCTTACTTTCCAAATTTTTCAGATAATAATGCAAACAAAAACAAATTTTTTAACAAAAATTTTACAAAATTGCATACAAATTTGTTGGAGGCCGACATTAATGGAGAATCACTGATGGAGAGGAAAGAGAAGAAGTTGTGAGTGACATCAATTTTCAATATGCCATGTATCAAGATCACACCTAGTTTAGGATAGGACGATAGCTTAGTCGCTGTGTTAATTTCAAGACACTCACAATCTCACCACGTGGCACAAATCATCCATGACCGTCCATTTTAAATGTCTATAATCCCTATTTAGTCGATACTGCTGTGCTGTTGACACTTATTCTGTCTCTTTCAAATTCCTTTGATATTATTAATATTTTTTTTTAAATTTTTCTGCCCTTTTATATTTTTACGTGTCACATATTAAAATAATATTGAAACTAAGTGGCCGATAGAATAATAAAAAAAAATAATAAAAAAGCTATCATCGGTACATGACCGATGATTTAATAAAGAAAAATCTTAGACAAAGAATTAATTTGAAAAGAATTTTATTTTAAAAATTTATTTTTAAATATGTATTAATTAAATAAAAAAGCCAAGAAAGAGAGACAGCGACGTCGATGAGATGAGAAGGGATGGAGCCAAGAGACGACGTCGGATTAATGAAAGTTCAAACACATACAACTATTGTATGGAAAAACACGTAAATGAGCCGTACCACCAATTAATGAAAGTTCAAAACGAATTCCACTTTATCAGATTTGACATAAACAAAATAATTAAAAGTAATTATAATAGAAATAAAAATAAATTGAAATAAACAAATTAGGATAATTTTTTAAAGAAATTATACTGGATCGTTTGGAAATGGAAAGAGAGAAGAGGGAAGTCAAAATTTATATTTTAAATAAATATATTTAAAATTAATATTTTTTTAAATAAAACATATAAATTAGTAAAATAATAATATATTTGTTGGATTTATAATTCTTGTAAATTAAAATTAAAAAATATGTCTTTCATTTTTTTCCTTTTAAAAAGATTCTACTCTAAATTTATTTTAAATTGTAAATAATTTTAAAAATTAAACAATTATAATAAAAATTATTTTATCAATCATGATTTTATTTTAAGTATTTGTTATCGTATATATAAACTTAAAAATTATCTTGTACCCTTTTTAAGATAGATTATCTGTTATACGTTATATAACATTAATAGTTATAGTTATTTCACATGAGAAAAACATAAAATACTTTAATATTCAGAGTATTTACATACTTTCACTTATCCTAAAACTTAAATTATAGACAATTGATGGTTAATAGATAAATTTAATTTTTATTCAAAAATTTATTTGATCTAAACATAAAATATTAATTTAATTTAATATATATATATATGATTTAATTTTGTTCGATTAAAATATAATTTAAAAATTAAATTAAACTGAATCATAAAATATTATTTGGTTTACATCAATTTTTATTTGTTACTGTATGATTTGTTTCAAAACTTTATTTATTATTGTATAAATTTTAATTTAATTTTAAATTTAGAATAAATAGTAGCTTAAAAATTGGAAAAGAGATTATTGAAAATCTAAATTAAAGAAAAGAAACTACAATTAAAAGCAAAAAATTATGAAAAATAATAAATTATTTGTTGAGAAAACAAAAAGAAAAGATACTCAATTGAGAAAAATGAGAATCTAAAGTATTTAGAAGTAATACATCATATATATTTATACAATATTATGATAAAATTAGGTAATTTTTTTATAAAAATACAAAAAATAATATAAATTTATTACAAATGTAATTCAATTTAGTTTGGTTTAAATTTAATAATGAAAGAATAAATAAAACAAAGTTAAAATGTAATATAAAAATGCAGTTTGATTCGATTTTGAACTCCTTAATTAACATCAACTGATATACATTGAGCATATTTTTTTGTTTAGAATCATATATTGATTTCTTTGGCCCAGAAAAATTATTAAAATCAATTATATTTTTTTATTAAAATGTTTATATATGCATAGTTAAAAATAAAATATTAATTAACATATTTAAAAGATTCATTTTTTTACTTATTAGGATGAGATTTATTGGTGATTATATTTTTGTGAATTAATACTTAATACTAACTTAGAATTTGGGATTCTCCCCCCCCCCCCCCCTTTTCAGCCTTTATTTTATTATTTATTTAGGCACGATTTCTTTTCTGTTTTTATTTTTATTGTTTTTTTAATATATACAAGAAATACACAATAAATAATAAATTTAAATAAAAATATAATATTTAATACCAATGTATGATATTTAATATATTATTTTTAAATTTTTTTATAAAATTGCTATTATTGAATTTTTATTGTATACATGCTAAGGAAATTGTTTCCTTTGTAAACAATTTGAAGAGTAGTGAGCAGATGAAAGCAACTCCGTAGAAATTGAAAGTTGTTAAAAGATCAAAAATAAAATTTCTTATTAAAAATAAAACAAATATACCTTCTTTTAATGCAATTGAACAATTTTTTTTTTAATTCCTTAATTAATGTTCAACGCGACCGTTATTTTTATTAAATTTTTAATATAATTTTTAACACTTAATTAAGTATATATATTAAAATGAAGTATTAATATATTTAATATTTTGAAGATATAAAATACATTTAACATTTAAATATTTTTTATTTTATTTTTCATTTTATTAGTATTTAATTATTTCCTTATTTTAAAAGTAGAAAGATTTATATATATATATATATATATATATATATAATATAAAAGTATTCCCGAAGGATTAGAAAGTAGGGTTATTTTTTTATATGAAAAAAAAACAAATATGGCGTTTTAGGAAAAATTATGAAAATATGAATTTTTTTTCAAAAATCATCCATAGCCAATTTTTAACCTAATTTTTTTTATTTCTAAAAAATTAGTTACCAAAATTATTTCATTTGTATAAATTTTTTATTATTTTATTATTTTTTATAATTTTTTAAAAAAGCTGTCCATGACAATTTCTAAAATTTGATAATTTTTTTGTTCTCTCAGTGCTTGTACCAAAAATTGCTAGTGATAATTTTTAAAAATGGTATTTTTTAAACACAGGATTTTAATAAATCTTGTACATTAAAAAATATTCGTATGAAATTATGTTATTTATTTATAGTAATTTCCTTTGATTAATTGGATTGGAAGAGCATGAGACACGAAAAGGAAGGAACTGCATAGAGATCGGAGCCCTTTTCCAACACGACTCAGACACAACACTTGGTGTAGTATATTTTAAAATACATTAATTCCTGGCATCGGAATTTTCATTTTGAATGCACCAAACTAGGCTCGGTTTGAACGGACCGAACCAAAGCCCTCATCGTGAACTCTGGTAATGGGAGCAGTTTCAGTTTCAGTTTCAGGGGGTGAGATATGGAAGGCTCACACCGCCATGGCAATGGTTCAACTATTCAACGGAGGCTTCCACGTCATCACCAAATTGGCGCTCAATGTTGGGGTCAACCAAATCGTTTTCTGCGTCTTCCGCGATCTCCTTGCCTTCTCCATTCTCGCTCCCATCGCTTTTTTCCGTGAAAAGTAACTCTCTCCTTTTCTTTGTTGCAATAGAAGAGTTCCTCTTTGTTTTTTCTTCAGTTATCCTTAATTTGGAGCATTTCGATATTTAGGATGCTGTCGGAAAAAACAACTTAATTGAGCGCCTTTTTTACATGGGAGCTTTTGTCATAAATTTGACCATGAATTTTGAAATAAGCTGAAAAAAATTTAAGGCCTACTGGCTTTAAAATTGAATGGAATTGATTTTCATGAAATAGATTTTGAGTCGTTGAATATAATTGGAATACATGCCTGCCTGCTGGCTTATGGTGATTGCGGTTTATTGGTTATTGTTTCAAGTCTGGTTCTGGAAATGCTCATACTTGTGCTATATAATCAAGCTTTGGAAATGAAATTTCAACTTGCAACTCTTTTTTACCTTATACTCATTGTCTTCGCTTTATTTCGGATGCATGAGTATCCTAATCATGCCTTGTTTGTAGACATACACGACCACCCTTAACCAAGCGCCTCGTGATCTCGTTCTTCTTTCTCGGATTAACTGGGTGAGGTTCTTGATATGTTCACTTATGCCCTCTATTTGATATGTTTGAACTGTGGTGTTTTATTGATGCAATGGTATTTTTGCTTCTTTATTCGTGCTTAGGATATTTGGCAACCATCTTTTGTTTCTCATTGGCTTAAGCTATACTAATCCAACTTATGCTGCTGCAATTCAGCCAGCCACTCCGGTCTTTACTTTTCTGTTGGCTGTAGTGATGGGGTTAGTTTCTCTCTTTCAATTTCTATGTGCATGTGCATGTGACATGTTCATTTTACCTTTTTCTGAAGCACACAACTCCACACTATTGTTGCCCACAAATTTGTACATTTATTAAATTAAGATACATCAGGACATACAGTAATGTGTGCCCTAATAAACTTATTCATGCAGTACAGAAAGTGTGAACTTGCTAAGATATGAAGGTCTGGCCAAGGTTGGAGGGACATGTTCCTGTGTTTTTGGTGCTGTACTGATGGTTTTGTATCGTGGTCCAGCCTTGATAGGAAATTCAGAAACAGACTTCGCATCACATAGTGAAATAAGTGCCAAAGGTCAACCAGAGCCTTCTGGATGGTTAATTGGTGGTTTACTGGATCTCGGATTCGACCATTTTCATCTTGGGGTTTTGTGCTTCATAGGGAACTGCATGTGCATGGCTGCTTTTCTAACCATTCAGGTTCATATCTTTTATATCCTGCAAACGATTGTTGATTACTGGAAGCATTAAGATAAAAAGGGTAGTGATCACAGTCATTTCTTTTCTCTATTACTCATATGTTAAGCCACAATTCCCATGTATTATACACATGATGTGGTGTGATGACACTAATAGTCATATTTTATGCACCAGACGAGATGGGTCATCTGGAAAACCTCAAAATCTTTAAGAGTTGAAGATCTATGAAACTATAATGTGACTGATTATCGAGCTTGTGTGATTGATTATCAAGTGTATTGATTATAATTCGATCTTTTGTGAAATACTGAAGCATTTTGAGTTGATTGTCATTTTAAGCGTGAAAAGAAGCTACAGTAGCGTCTTATTACTATGTATGTGTGAACTACAAGCTAAACATGATTGACAATTTGACATATAGGGTTCATCTTAAGGGGGATTGTTAGGGAATAGTCAGTTCTCTTGTATTGTGCATTATTTCTTAATATAAATATAGAGAGAGGGAGACTAACAGCACCGAGTTAGTCAATTTCATTCTTAATTTTTTTCGACAGTCACAATGAAAACTTACCATTCTCCCTTCATCTTCATTCAAAAATATTTTAAATTAACACAGGTTGATATGCTATTGGATGACTTCCCAAAGTTGTCATGCTTGTCAGATTGAATGATTTATTAGCAGAAACACCACTCCTAAATTAGGTCGTTTAAAATATCTTCACTGATTAATTTCATGATGATATTAGGTACTTTTATATGTGCAACTGCAATGTTTGTTATGTTTAATTTATTATCATGAAATATTTTCAGGCTCCCTTATTAAAAAAGTATCCTGCAAATCTATCTGTCACAGCGTATTCGTACTTCTTTGGTGCTGTACTGATGGTAACTACATCATTCTTTGCAACTGATGAGTCAACTGACTGGAGTTTGACACGGTCTGAAATCATTGCCGTTATTTATGCTGTGAGTCACTAGGATTTTAAGTCAACCTTCAGTATCATGAGCTGATATTAGTTATCTACAATCATTGTAGTCCGTATTCCTTATTCCATTGTTTGTGTGATTTTACTCCTTAACACATTAAATGTCATTCTTTTCTTTCTTTCATTTAGTGGAAGTATTCTCACTTAAGTATTTAGGTGTCAATATGCACCAAGTTTTAGAGTGAGAAAAATGAAAAGAAAATGTTCTTGTTTACTGTTTAATACTTTCCTAAATTTTTGTCTTTAATGTTGGATTCAAGTTTGATATACTGATACTATACGTTACACTATTTGCTAACCCATATGTGCCACTTTCACGCTGTGAAAAGGTTGTACTAGGAAGTCAAACTGAAAGCCCTTAGTAATTAAAATGTTCCAGGAATTTATTATTTGTTGTTAGTGAAGAATTTTTCATTGGCAGTTGATCAAATTCAAAATCATGAACTTTTCATTCTAATCTTAGTACTGATCCTGTTTCTGTAGAGAATTTAAAAATTCATAGTACACCTAATGACCTAAAACTTTCTTCTTTTTGATTTCTTTTCATATGTTAATGTATAGATATTATTAAAGTTGAAAAAAACAAAGAACAAATCTATTGAGATTTAAATAAAAACAAATGTTTGTGCTGCATATAGCAGCCAGAATTCTGCTCTGCAAATGGTTGCTGATGGATGCCAAGTGTATAAGTAGTCTGATTAAAGTCCAGAAAAGATAGGAATGTAGGAGAGATTACACCAGAGAATTGTTAAGTTCCTACCCCAGTCCTATGCTTTACAGAGAAAACAATTACTGCTTGATATAGAAGCCAAAAGCCCAAAAGGAATAACAAACAGAAAAATTATAATCCTCCTGTCTCACTCCTCCAATATAACCACCTCTCCACTATCGGTTATTGAACCCTATACCAAAACAGAGACTTAACAGACCATGGTATATGTCATGAACTAGTCTGTTTATATTTGTTTTCCTTTCTCATTTCTTCAATCATAAACGCTCTACATCTCAGGATTATCCCCTCGACCTGCTACTAATGGGCCTCTATCAATTTCTTATCCAACAATGGGAAAATAAAACCATAGTCTCTGAACACATTTTGGTAACGCATTTAACCCTCCCATGACACCTATTTAATTTTAGTGACCAAGTGCTGTTGCACATCCCATTTCTATGTACCACAGCCGACCATTTTTTGATCCAAGCAACTAGACTCAGGCTTTAGAATTGTTGGCAAAACCCATTTTTTCATTGGGGCAGGAGTATGGAATAAGTTGGATTTCCCTGGAATGATTTAGTGGTTTCTTTCTGTCTGGTCATGCTAGAGTGGGCGAAAAATACTTGAACTTACACAAAGGAAAGAAGGAGGCCATGAATTGTCATTGAAATTTGTATTTAGCTATATGCCCGTAGTTTAAGAAAGGAATTATAGTTATTGGGCTAAATAAAAGAGGGTGTGTTTATTTGAGCATGAAAGTAATGCAAGTCTTTGTTCCAGCATTTTAGAGTTCAGTGATTTTTATTCTATTTTATTTTGATAGACACTAGCGATATTTATATCAATTTGTAATCATTTACTTTAGAAGGCTTTTAACATGTAGAGTCTTACATAAGTTTTCCTTGTTTGTTCAGGGATTTATCGCATCAGCCCTTAATTATGGAATTATTACATGGTGCAACAAGATCTTGGGGCCAGCTATGGTTGCCCTTTATAATCCACTTCAACCTGGAGCTTCTGCTCTCTTGTCCAGAATTTTTCTTGGAAGTCCAATTTACATGGGAAGGTAAGATCTCATTTTACCTCCTTGTTATTGATACATTGTTGATCATAAGTTCTATAAGAGTACTTGACTTGTTAATGCTGATTCAAAAGAGCAGCACGATATACTTTATTTTCCGTAAAAGATGGATAGATGTCTACATTAAGCTACAGATCTTTGTTTTCGGTATAACAATTGTTTAGCTCTTAGATTTATGCAACTAGATTATGGAACATGGTGACTTGTCATGTTAACTCTTTTTAAATTTATGAAAATCAGTAATCACTTTTGTAAACTCTTTTTATAGCTCACTTTAGTAAGCTTCTTTATGAAGCATTGAAATAAGCTGTTTTTTAACTTATTTTCTTAAGTTTCATGTTGAAATTTATGACACAAGCTTGCAATAAAGAGTTAAGATCTCTTGACATTAGGTGTTAAACTTGCAAACTTACACCACCTAATAACTTTTTATAAAATGTAAAATTAACTAATTCAATTAAGTTTTTATTAAATATATAAACTTTATAACATTTCATGAAAAAGTAAAATTATTAGGTGCTTCATTGCATTATTTTGTTTCAATGGATAATATAGTTTTAAAATATAAGTATATATCAAATTTTAGACAATATATTTACAAATATTCAAATTACATGAAATTTGATATATATAATAAAAAAGATAATATAAGATGATTAAACAATTGTATTGATCAATTTTGCATTATATTAAAGTTATTAAATGATGTAAGTTGTTAAATTTGGCACCTAGTGTAAACGGATCCAAACTCTTGAATAAATACTTATCAAGTTTTACATCTAAACGGAACTTCTGCCCACAAAACGTGTGGAAAATGTTTTGCACCTGCTCCCAGAGGTGGTATTGTGGATCAATTTATTTTGTTGTTTCAAGTTTCCTATTGCTCCTAATTTTTTTCCATGACAACAGCATCACCGGTGGATCTTTCATCATTATTGGCTTGTATGCGGTTACATGGGCATCTTATAGAGAACGACATGCAGCCTCGGGAGTTATTTCTCATGGTACAAGGGTTGAATCACTAGTCCATGACAAGAGTTCATATAGAGTTCACATTTTCTCAGGGGGCCCCAGCTTGTCCCCAAAGCCATCGGATTAATGAAATGAATTGTGGAATTCCATGTAAAAGTTGTCTCATAAATTTTGTTCTCTTATTGGTCTTTATACATATAGTTGTTTTAAAGAATTAAAATTGAGAGAAGTGATGGTAAAAAAAATTGATGAACTTGTCTATAAAATTTGCAAGATGATCCACCCGTGTGAAAATCTTGTCAAACCAAACTAAACATAAAGTTAATGTAAACCATTTAAAAAAAATAAAAATCATTCAGACCGGCCAGGTCTTTTTTCCAGGTTGTATTTTATGACACGAGTCTAGGATATTTACTTTTTTTTTTAATATATATAAAAAGAAGCTAGTATAATTATTTGGTGAACACAGAATTTTGATGCAAAATCGTTTAGAAATAAAGAAAGAATTGAAAAAATTGTTTGAAAGAGAAATGTTATTTGTATTATTGAATGATCAAAAGGGAAATACATGAATGATTTTTCATGTGCTTTGAGAGATATAGCTCTCTATCTTTAATGAATTTCATAATCTTTAATATCTCTTTATCTTTGACAAATTCTATAATCTTTTTTTAAGAATATCACTCTTTTCTCACTTCATTTCAATATAATAGAAATCACTTAAAACTAGACTTCTTGTCACATCATCAATTTCTATTCTTCTAATTTCTTTTTAAATATACCTTCCAAATGGTTGGCTATTTTATTATCATTGCACCAAATTAGCACTTGGGCCATTGATTTTATTAGATCTCTAACATTGTCCCCCACTTAAGAAATAGTATTGTCCTCAAGACTAAAATCAGGAACTGCCTTATGATGTGGAATTCCTCTTTCCATGTAACTTTTTCAACTAGTTTGTCTTGTCACTGAATAAGAACTTGTCACAAATTTTCTCCCTTCTTAGTCATAACTCTATGGGCCAAAACTACAGCAAGAATAATTACAGTAGGAATAATAACAGAAGTTTCAACTTCCAAACTAATAGGGAAAGTGGTTTCTACTTAATAATTTTCCATTGCCTTCTTAAGAAGAGACACATTGAAAACAGGATAAGTATGGGCTATAAGAGGCAAATTAACTTTGTAGGTCACTACACCTATTCGATCAACAATTTTGAAAGGGTCATAGTAGTGAGGAACTAACTTTAGGACACATCTTTGTATGAATAGTTTGTTGTCTATGAGGTTGTAGCTTCAAAAAAATCCATTTCCCAACAACAAAGCTTTTTTTCACTCCTTTTTGCATTAACTTGTTCTTTCATTCTCCCTTGGGCATGTTTTAGATATTTCTAAAGTTGCTTCAGATCTTCATCTCGATCAGTCAATTTTCTTTGGACTGCCTCCACTCTAGTTTTCCCCTAGTAAGAATGGAGTGATTACTAGAGGAGCTCTCTCATAGACCACTTCAAATGGTGTAGTTCGTGTAGCCACATGGAAATTGGTATTATACCAATACTCAGCCCAAGGTATCTAATGAACCTAAGTATGTGGTTGATTAGCAATAAAACACAATAGAAAAGTCTCCAAACACTGGACAATCACCTCAGTTTGACCATTCGTTTGATGATGGTAAGACGTGCTCAATTTTAGTTGGGTTCCCTGTAACTTGAACACCTCTTTTCAGAAAGTACTCACAAAAATAGGATCTCTATTACTTATGATGGATGTTGTGATACCATGTAAACAAACTTTTTCCCTAATAAACACTTTAGCCAAGGACTTAGCAATATAGGGATGTTTCAGGGGGAAAAAATAGCTATATTTTGATAACCTATCCACCACAACAAATATAGCTTAATACCTCTTGGACTTGAGTAACCCTATGATGAAATTTATAAAAATTTCTTCCTATATCTGATTAGGAATATTGGGAGGTTACAGCAAACCCCTAGGGGAAATGACCATGTATTTTTGTCTCTGGCATGTATCATATGCACAAACAAATTGATAAACCCTATCTTTCATGCCCTACCAAAACATATTTACAACTAGTCGTCAATAAGTGAGATAAAAACCTAAATGCCCTCCATGTGGTGTTGTATGAAACTCATGTAACAAGATTAGATTCCAAGAGAAAGTAGTAAAAATAACTAGTTGTTCTTGTAATACAAGACGTCATTCCTATAGTTGTACTCCTAATGTTGTCCACCCCCTTTAACAATATCTTTTATAATTTTCAACATCCTTTTGTCATGATGTACTTCAACAACTACTTCCCCCTAGTTTCCCATTTCAGTTCATGGTACAAAAATTCCCCTCCTCATGCATCCTAAACAAGGCATCTACATCTTTATTCTTCAAACCTGGTTTATAAACCATATCCAATCGGTAACGAAGAAGCCTGGCAGGCTAATTTTGTTAATCCCTAGTGGTAATCCTTTGTAATAATAACTCCCTTAAACTCTTTTGATCAATACAGACACTGAACTTCCTCCCAAGAAGATAAGGTCTCCAATGTTGTATAGATAAAGCTAATACCATCAATTCTATTTCATAAGCAGATTTGGCCATGTTTCTCTCCACTTGAGCTTTACTAAAAAAAAGTAACATGTCTCTCCTTTTGGTTGAGAATAGCTCCCAACCCATCTCTGGAAGCATTGTTTTTTATAACAAATTCCTGATCAAAATCAAGGAGGGCCAAAATTAGGGCTGAAGTGATCTTATTCTTCAAAAGTTCAAAGACTTTTTGTTCCCCATAGGTTCACTTAAACTCCTCTTTTCTTGTCAAATCAGTTAAAGGTTTGGCAAGCTTCCCATAATTTTGTACAAATTTTCGATAGCACCCTGTGAGGTCAAGGAAACCCCTTACTCCTTTGACATTCCTAGGTGGAGGTTATTGCAAAATACATTGCACCTTACTAAGATCCATAGCACCTCCCTCATGAGATACAATATGCCTCAAATACTCACTAGAGACTTGAGCACAATGACATTTCTTCCTATTAGCCACAAACTATTGTGAAAGCAACACCCTTAAGACCTTATCTATAATATCCCGATTTCTGTGATTAGTATATAATGTGCTTATGTGATTGAATTATTTTAAAAAAATTAATGGAAATATATATTATCATTATTTTATTATTTATAGAGTTACGTACAATTAATTGTTTTAAAAGTTTACGATAATTTTTGTCGATAAACATTTACGCGAAGAAATAGGATATAAAGTTGTATGAGTAAAATTTAATATTTTTTTAGTTTTTAAATTATTAAATTAAAAGTGATAATATTAATTATTATTATCATCGGTAGTAATATTTTATGAGATAAAATTTTGTTACGCTAAAATAATGTTGTATACGTAATCCGACAATTTAGTTTTCTTATTCCCTTCAAAACTGATTAATCCCTCATTGATTGAGCCATATTAAGATACAATTGTGAAAACACTTCAAAACTAAAATTTTATTCTCTTGAGTACACAATTATGATTACCCTACTTGATTAATTCTTTCTCCTAAATTAACATAAGCCTAATCTTCTAATTCTTCCTAATCTTACCACATAATCTTCATTGAAATTGCCACCTTGTTTCTTCAAAGTGTGACACCTCATTATGTCCTTACCACCTCACAAACTCCACTCTCTAAATTAATAAGACATGACCGTCCACTCTCCCTCCATCCATTCATCAATTTCACTTCTAAAATTGCAAGAAAGAATTCTCTCAACTTCACAAAAATTTCTCTTCTTCTCATCCTACAAACTGTGAGTTATTCTTCTCCATGGCTAGCCAATATTTTCTCAAATTTCACATGCAATTACATACTTAGATTTCTCTTCATTCCTACGGTTTTATATTTCTTAAAGGGCAGCAACAACTGGACAACTTGGAGCTTGGTTCTTAAATCCTTGGATACTTAAAGATCACCCCTTTCTTTATTTTGAACTCCTTTGTAAGGGAGATAGATTTGATTGGCAAAGGAGTTGAGAATCTAAGTATATATAAGGGAAGGATCTTCTCACACTAGTGTAAGTTTAAAAACTCTTACACTCGATTTGAGCCTTTTATTTAACTTACATCTAATGGTTAGTAAAGTAATAAATTATAACTCGTTAAATGTAAATTAAATGAAAGGTTAAGATAGAGCGTAAAAGTTTTTAGAGTTATACTAGTGTGACAAGATCCTGCCCCCCACACACAGACATATATATATATATATATATATATTTGTGGTGCTGTGAAGTTGAATTGTTGTGGTTGTGACTAAACTCTGTTTGGACAAAATTGTGTGATGTTGTGTTTATTATTTTGAGCTAGAATCTGTGCTAAATTAAATTATAGTATGTGTGTGCATGATATGAAAAATTTTATGTTGATTGGAGTCCAATTGGTTAACGAGGTCATGAAAAAATATTGTTGTTTATATACTGTTGATTTGGATCCTAAAATTTGGTATGGTGAAATGAATGTGTCATTGAAATGTATAAAAACATTCTGATTAAAATAAATTAATTTTAAATTTATATGAATTTTTGACGTGAAACTATCCTATTTCACTTCATGTTTTGTCCCAAAAACTTAAATATTTTTAATCTACCACTTAGTAATATAAATTGGATATCATTCTTAACATGTTGGAATTGTATTATAGAAAGTTGGGTGCTATTTAGCCTTATGTAGAATTTGTCATAAATGATTTATTTGAGGTAATCTTCTTGTAATTACAACTAAAATCCTATTAAGAGTAGTAAATTGAGGAACTGATTTACCTAAGTTATCCATGTTATTAAATTCTAAAAAAATTTATATTGAATCCTAATTTAGTATAATTGTACTCTATAAAAATTTGGTTCTTAATATTGTCTATAGAATTTTGATAAAAGAATCCTGTGTTGGAATCTCATAATTTTGTCCCCTGAAACTTTATTTCATAAGAATTGAATTTATACTTAGAATTTACTCAAATCAATGCTTCAATTTGATTCTTAATTTATTTAAGAATCAATCTGGAAACTTTCAGAATTTATTAAGAAAATTTCAATTTATAATGAATTGATCATAATTAGTAGATATGTTATT